CTCCCTTCCCTTTAATATTTTTTGTCATAGTGGAATATGCCTAGTTACACACCAAAAGACATCACTTGTTATCGGGAACCTATCTGAAACCACCTGTATTTGATAAGCATCTCATAAACATGCCACTTTATGGCAGAATCACCTAAGTAACCCTAGTTCCTGTTTCTAGAAGCAATTTAAAACTTGCTTTATTTAATAGCAAAGAGAGTACTAAAATGAGATGACACTGCCATTAACCTGTATTTCAGTTTTCAAGAAGGTTTGAGATTTTGCAAATATTGTGAGCGGGAAATGTAGTCTCTGAAGAACTTAACTATTCAAGCAGGCATGCCCATTCATTCGTTATCCATTCATCTGATTCTAATTGGGGGTCACCTAGGTGAAAGGGCCAGTCCATGGCCCCCAGGAGCACATAATCTTACCTGAGGAGACAGACAACTAACCATCACAACTCAAAGAGTGCTGTCTGCACACAGAATGCAGAAAACCCCCCTGAAGCAAAAAGAACAGAAGTACAAATAATTCAGGTGGCGCAGAAGGAAGGAGAAGAGATATCTGAAAGGTTCATGAAAGGAAAGCAAGTGAGGATTGGGTCCATGAGACAGAGAAAACTGCCTTTGCAAAGTCCTGGAGGCAGAAGCCTTCAAGGTCAGGATGGCTGCTGCAGGGGGCGTGTGGAGAGGTGACAAGATAAACGTGTAACGTGGATGGGGTCGGATCATGCAGGAGATTGATCACACATGTCATACTAAGGAGACTGAACTTGGGCTCCAATATTTCCAATTTAAATCCTTGCAGTTGTAATCCAATAATATAAAGATATTTTAAAATAAAAGTCACAGAATATCAATCGTAAATTTCGGCTGTCTTGGATATTAAACCTTAAGTTATTAGCTCCTCTTTTGAATTAAAAGCTGCCTGAGGACAGAAATTATTTCCTCATCAAAGCACCTACTCCTTTTCAATTCATCCAATAGTGGAGCTACTAGAGATAACTGATGAGTTCATTTCATTGCAAGGCTTTTATTGAGTATTTAATTTCCCATAGCGCTTGACTAGATATTGTATAAGAACACTACACAGATCTGTTCTCAGATTTCTGAAGCTTATACTTTATAATTTAAGACATAACAGTTGATATTATTCTTAATTTTCAGAACTAAAATGCCATTGCTCTGTGTGACAGATTGAGAAACAAACTAATCACAAAAAGGCCATAAAAGCTAATAACTAAAGGAAATAAATGCACTGAAATAAATCAAGGTAAAATTATAAATGATCAGAATTTTCAGTTGTTTATTATGATTTATCTTATTGAGTTGAGAAATCTATTAACCTTTTGACATAGGAAGATGGAATTTGCTAATTGAGTTAGAGGAGCTCCACTTCCATTGTCATGTGGATTGATAATATTTACAACTTAAATATCACCCACCTTCAAAATAATGCCAGTATTTTGATAAGTTGCTGACGTGGGGTAGCAGAAACACCACCTACTGTTAATCTTCATATGCGTAAGTGACACTGACCATGACGGGGAGATAATGGGGCGCCTAATGCCAGCGCGTGGAGCGTGTACACTGAACCTTGGTGGCATGCGCTGACAGATGACCCATCTTCCCTCACTGGCTTGATGCCACCTCTCTTTTGAACAAGACACACTGTCTTTGACTGCTGAGACTACTATGCTGGTCTGTCTGATAGTTATACTTTGCAGGGAATCAACTGCTAAGACTCTGATTGTTTAAAGTGCTTTGCCTCCGCACAGCCCAACTTTAGAACTGCTCAATCCGTCTATGACCAGACATTTGAGAAGGGGCCAACCTCTGGTCAGCACTGTGGTGCTGGGCCCAGTTTCTCAAACTGGGGAAAACACCATCTCCCCTGAGCATGGAACTGTGGGTCAGGGAGAATATGAAGCCGTGACATAAAAGGGGCACATCTTTCTGCTCTTGTGTGCTCAATGGTCAATAAGTAAAAACAGTTTTGTACTAAAATAATACATGGAGTATATTGTGGAATATAATGGATTAAAAAATGAGCATCCATTTTTGAGGTAACAAATAAAACTCCAAGAAATTATATGTTGGTGGAAGTTGGTGTTTACCATGTCCAGAGACATTTGGGGTGACAAGTTAGTTCTGACTCTGACTTTACCCTCAGCAACTGTGTCCTCATCAAACAGGAAAACCATTTAATATGAAGATTTAAAAAACATGTAGCATAGCAGCTGACAGAGCCAGGGTGAGTTTCTTAAAAATATCACTCCAAGTCATGCTTCTTCAAACCTTTCAACAGCTACTTTTGCCCTTTGAATAAAGGCCTTCATGGCTGTGTCTCAGGTTCTAAACCCTGGTAAAGCCTGTGGGGTCCTTCTAAGAATCATGTCTTAAAATTCATGAAATAAAGTATATCTTATTACAAAGGAAACCACTCCTGCTGAAATAAAGTTAAAATATTAATGAAAAAACAAATCTGTGCTACGATAATATATGTGCTTCTCTATCAACATCAAATAACACAGTAAAGTGTAGGTTCTATAACTAAGTGATTCTGAAATAGCGATGAACAAACAATATTCAGGAGACCAGATACCTATTAATTGGATATGAAGATACCTGTGATTTCCAGTTGTGAAAGTCACAGGTACTCCTGCTGCCACCGTGGGTATTGTTTTCCTTTGCCTACATTCATGATTGAAGGAAAGGCTAAATTTCATTTAGGTGTTGGCAAAGATGAAAATGTATTTTTCCCCATTCAAGTTCATGGGGAAAAATTCTACCCATGGATCCATTAGAGGTCCAGGAACACAGATGAAGAGCTGATATTCTACCAACACTGGGTCCTGCCTCAGTCTCTCATCTCATCTGTATCACCATCCCTTCTGCCTGCCATGCTGTGGCCACACCACCCTCTGGCTCTTCAAACACATTCAGCTTAGTCCACCCGGCCATCTGCTCTCACTTTTCTATCTGGGATGCTCTGCCCTCAGATCTTTGCGTGGCGTTTCTTTCCTGTTCTTTATGTGAGCTCAAATATCACCTCCTCCAAGAGCGCTGCCCTGACCAACCCCATCTAAGGATGCCACTCCCCTTGCCAGCCTACTTTCCTAATGGTAGTTACCACTATCTGAAACGACTGTGTTCATCTAAATGTTCGTGAGTTTATTCTCCATTTCCCTCCCTAAGCGAGCTCCATGGGAGCAGGGACCTCATCTCCATGTTCAGGGCCATATCCCCAGCACCTAGAATGGTGTTTGGCACAAAGTAGGGGTCTCATGCATCTTGGCTAAATGAAAGAAAGAATAGTAAGAACTCCACAAATGTTACTTCTCTCATCCTTCACTGTGTGTTTTAGGTGCTGTGGGGATACAAAGGGATGAAAGACAAATTCCTGCCCTTAAGCAGTTTACAGACGAGTGGAGGTGGGAAGTGGCCACGTGGAAGGCGGAGAGAGTTTTGGTCCCAGCTGTCCCACTCTGCTGTATGACAGGGGCAAATCTCTTCTAGGGCCTCCGTCCCGATGAATGGGTTGGACAAATTTATCTCCATGGTCTTATATGGCCTATGGTTTATGATCATTAAGAGCTAACAGGGCAAGTGAGGGATTGTGACTTGTGACCCTAAGTGGGGGACAGTTCACAGAGGACAAGAGTTGGCAGGACTCTGAAATGCAATCAACCTTCAACAAACGAGAAGGGGGGATTTTCAGAGTCATGATCTCTCATTGTTGAAAAACTTTAAAGGCTACACAGCACGGCCACAGGGTGAGGCTCTGGATAGCTCTATGTGAGGCCATTTCTGAAGATGCAGCATAATACTCCAGCTCTTAGATGCAACCAGATGTTTAAGGGTATGGACTATAGAGCGGCACTGCCTGGGTTCAAATCTCAGCTCTGTCGCTTACTATCTATGTGCTTTTAGACAAATTATTTCTCTGTGTCTCATTCATTCCCTCCTCTGTAAAATGAGAAAAACAACAGTATTAACTTTATGAGGTTATGGTCAAGCTTAAATGAGAAAATGAATTAATATGCTTATCAAAAATTCAGTAAATGCTACTTATGATTCTGCTGGTTTCCTAGGGTGCCAAACTTACTATATAGCCACCCCAAACCACTTTCCCCTTCTTCCACTGAAATGGAAGTTTTACCAGCCAGAGATTACATCATCCAGGCTGGAGTTTCTGCAACTTTATCTTACCTTCTCCTTGACATTCACGTGAGTATTGAGTTCAGCCATCTTGTTTCTAGTGGAAGAAGCCCTGTAAAAAAGTGGGGAAAAAGATTAACTTTAAAGTTTTAAAATTGATTTCCCAATGTGTTATTTTTATGCTCTCTTCCAACCTAGTAAACAATTTCACTCTGACATAATCATAAATACCATTTTGGAATGTAAAAATACACTTGTCTTTTATATGTTCTAAAAGCATGTTACAATAACTCTAGAAGACAACGTACAATATTTTATTCATACCGTATTGACGTGAAAAATGACAAAGACAGATGGGTGTGCACCCAAACTGCGCCTCTTCTTATTATGCAAGAGAAAGGTGGCCAAAGCAGTGAGAGGAGGAAAAGTGTACCTATATTAACCAAGCACCGCCCTTACAGTCCTTACTGTCCCAAAGCTTTTATCAGCCTCCAGTTAAAATAACAAATATTTATTGAGCCTTTCCTACATGTATTTAACTATATCATGCACTGGAACAACGACTCCAGAATTTAAATAGAAGAAACACTGTATATAGATTTAAAACTTGCTTCCTCACTTACCAACATATCATGAACATCCGTACCTTTACCATATTTTTAAATGACCATAAAGTCCTGATCTCAAGTTTCAAACGGACCCTTACGACTGTCCATAATCCTTCTGTTTCCCTAAGTTCTTAGTTTTCTGCCTTTGGTGTCCAATCTTCTTTGTGAAGTGGCCCCTTCTGAGATGTGTATTCTTAACATCAAGCTGTGGTGTTTTTCTTTCTTCTCATGTGCTCTAAATCTTTCACCGTTACTATAGAAGCCAGATCTTAAGTCTTTAATAGTTTCAATCTCTTTTTGAAATAGAATATAAATGACTTAAAATGAGCTAACATATTGGTTCAGATTAGCAGCTAGACAGGCCAAGATATCAATATACTCCCTATTTGCATGTTTAATGCTTTTTGTCAATCAAGATCCACTGAAATACCTTCCTAGATTCTTTCTGACTTTTGCTACAATGAGTGTATCTAGTATTGATGCGTTTTAGGGATAACTTGCAAAAATTCTTGGATTTCTCCCCATCATTTTCTTTCTTTTTAAATCCTCACCCGAGGACATGTTTATTGATTTTGGAGAAAGGAAGGGGGAAGGAGGAAGAGAGAGAGAGAGAATCGTCAGTCAGTTGCCTCTCACTCTCTCACACGCCCCTGATCCGGGGACCAACCTGCAACCTGGGCATGTGCCCTGGACAGGGGATCAAACCTTGACCTTTTGGTGCCCAGGACAATGCTCCGGCCAACTGAGCCACACAAGCCAGGGCTCCATCATTTTCTTTTAAACCTAGATCTAGTACACTATAAATTCAGATCCATTACCTTTTATTGATTTTAGGATGAAAGCTTGGAAATACGTGATCTTAACTCTAGTACCACTCAAATAGGAATCCTCACAGATACACTGTTATATGTTACCAACTATAGTAAGATTCTCTTTTTATAATTTTCCAAATGACAGAGCCACTGACAGACACATGTATGCAGTCACAGTAGCAGGAGAGACCTGCATCCTTGGTCCCCCCTAAGGCCGCTCCTTCCCATGTGCTCTGCTGAGAGCGCCCATCCCATTAAACACACCTCCCAGGTAAATAACTTCCAAATGATACATTTTATATCCTCTGACTTGACATATGGGAGAAAGTAAATAATACTAGCTGGCAAGCAATAACTGAATTTCATTCTCATTTATTCCTGCCCCTGAGAGTCGCTAGTAAAGGACAGCAGGATTATTTTCTGATTATCTGTACCAGCGAACAGAGATGAAATGCAAGGCACGAGGACAAATAACCAGGTGTTTCTGTTTACAAGCCATACATGAAAAGTGAAACCTCTGATCAGTCATCACAACGCCTACAGGATGGTCTACAGTCATGCTATTTGAAGACATCTGGATGGCTGATTTTCTTATTCACATGGACGTTTTGGCATCGTGTACACACTTTATATTTTGGGTGTTTTTCTGTGTATGATAGTGTGTGTGTGTGTGTGTGTGTGTGACAGAGAATAAAGATGGGGTAGGAAGGGACAGAGGGATGCAAGGAGGAAGGGAGGGAAGGAGAGAGATATGGGTTATACCTATGGACTATAAAGGATCGAAGGTGACAGCTGGATTTGGTGCTACTTGTTAGGATGGACATGAGCCACAATTCCTTTCATTAGACTAGACCAGCTAAGTCTTCTGGACACATCTAACCTTGCCATTATAGATCTGTGAAATCTGAGAGAAGTGTTGTTTGTTTTTGCTTTGATGTCTAGGACTTGAGTGTGCAGCATTTCCTAAAGCTAGAGTGTTCTAATCCACAGAGGAACCAAGGAGGACCTCCACCGAGGGCAAACAAGTTCTGAGACCTGAGGACGTGGCAATGCTCAATGGTGAGTTATACTCCTAGGGCAAAAATGTATGTGTGTGTGTGTATATATATATATATATATATATATATATATATATAGTATTCATAGGAATAGAAGTATTTCCTTGGCAATTCCCTTTCTATTTAATCTCAAAGTCTGACTCAAGGAAAGCTCTTCCTTTGGTAGTGATGCCAGTAAGATTAATTACAACATTATTTTTTGTGTGGAGGAAAACGCTGGCCATGAGGGTGGAATGAGGATATTACAGGGAAGATAAGATAAAAAAATTACAGGAAGATGTTCTTTGCTCATTTTGTTCTCTCAAAGTTTCTTCTCCTGCGTGGAGGGCGGCTTCTCCAGGCCCCTTCCAGGTGCGTTCCCAGCCCCTCTGCACTGTGAGGCCTCCTGCTGGCTGGTGGATAACAGAGGACTGGGAAATCAGCTCCAGCTACGGACACTCGATGAAGGATTTTAATGCAAACAGAACATAAACTGGGCTTGCCTTAAAGAATTAGGAATTTAAGTGACTAGATAATTAAATTGGGTCCTACCTATAATTCTAGGGAAACTATGGAACAGGAGAGGTTGATCTTCAGGGTGCAGAAGGCGCTGGCTGAGTGTCCGAAGCTCCTCGAGAATATTCAAAAGGAAACCTCACACCGGCATAGCGCTGAGTGCTCGATACCTTTCCTGAGCCTCTCCCCTGCGACAGTGAACCTGTGCTGGGCCCCTACTCTTGGGGGATTCTGTTGTCTGCTATGAACTATATCAGGACAGTCAGATCAATGCAATCTGAATTTTAATTGTTTAATTTAGACAGTTAAAGAACTTTGCTTCTAGGAAACATAGTGTCACTTCTTCCCAACTGACAAGCCCAAAGTTCAGCATCCTGAAACCCCAGACCTAATAGTCAAAGACCCCTGGGTTAACCAGAGAAGCCTGTGAGGACAGATTTTTGGGGCCAACAGAATTCCTATTTCCCTCCCATCATGTTAGGTCACCACACATGACAGTGTGTCACTTCTGGGCATGACTGATGCCCACTTCCTAACAAAGCTCAATCATAAGAGCTGTAGATCCACAAGAAAAGTATAGGGACTTATGACTTCTTGGGAAAGAACTTGGTTTCTAATTCCTATTATCACTTAAGACTGTTCTAAGAACCAACCAGTTACTGAGGCCTAACTGTTCTAATCCACGACACATGTTCCAGGCATATAAAAAAATCAATATGAAATTAAGATAACTAGAAATACAAGTCCTGATGCTGATGCAATGTTTCAGTAGCTTAGGTATTATCTGAAATATTTTTCCTCTAAATTATACTTTATTTTTCAGTAACAACATTACACACATATATAGCTGTCATCTAAGTTATGTGTATATATATCCTAGAGAAAAATAAAGACCAAGAAAATTGTTGACTGAAATTTTATTTATGAAATAACAGATTAATCTCTTACTTCTTTCTAGATATGTATATATTCCATAGTCAAAAACTTATTAGAAAAAGCATCAATTGCAAAGAAAAGCATGTCACCATTTATCACCAATATATCATCTATACACTTCTACAGTGGAAAATTAATAAACCACAGCATGGTTACCACCAATCACTTCAAGCGCAAAGTTATGCAAACTGAGCTGCTCATTATGCAAAGATCTTACTTAATATGCACTAATGCCAGTCAGAAAATCTATTAGTCTATGACAAAGATAAATATTCTTTATAAGAAATAAAACTGAATAGTACAAATTCTGGCAAATATGTTTGTTTTGGCATTTCTAATGAATACAATGCACTGAAGTTTAATATACATGACAATCTGATTAACAGCTTAGAAATGTATATAAATTTATATTTCTCACGCAATCATTTAAAGTTAAAACAATGTATTGAAATGCCAAATTGCTTTCTGACTTCCTGATTACTATTTTTCCTCATGTTTTATTGTGCAGATAGTAATAAAGTTTCACTTTTATTTCTCTGAAACCTATTACTGCTCTTAGATTCACTTTCCTTTTCTCAGGTATTACATCACTTTTCTTGAACTGGATTATAAAACCAGAGGAAATACATATGAAAACTTTTTAAAATAAAGATTTAAAATGACAGCAATTGGCACACTTATGGAGCACTTAAAATGTGCCAGGCACTCTGCTAAATGCTTGACACAAATTCTTTCATTGAACCCTCACATCCCATATAAAGTAGAAATTATGATTATCCTCATTTTATATATGTGAAAGCTGAGGCACAGAGATTCAACAGCTAACTCAGCGTCCCACAGTCAATGGCAGGGCCAAGACTCAAACCCAGGTGGGCTGATTCTGGAGCCCAGTCAGTGTGCCTATAGCACCTCAAAACCATCATAAACAAGTCATGGGTCTCAGTGTACACGAACCGCAGTAAGAACTCTGCAAGGAGGATTAAACCGATCCCGGGCACCCCGGGCACCCTGCCTTCTCAGTCCGGGCAGGCATGTGATGTATGCCTTGTGTATGTATGCAGGGCACACACGCAGCAGAGCAAAACCACTAACCTCACCCAGGAATGGCAGGAACACACCTGCTATAAAGACAGGACTGTTTTTCTGTGGCTTCCTACCTCACCTGAGAGTGTAAAAAGCTGCATTTAGTGGGCCCTCCGCCAA